CTCAGCAAAGCTCCTGGTCCTGGATACCTAAATAAATGTCACTGTGTATATACTGGTACCAAAGTCACAGTGAATTAATTTCATACAAGCAGGCAAATGCAACTGGGAAGCTGGAGTTTTGCGAATTCTCCTGGGCAGCAGGAGAACGTTATTGCACACAATAGGCTAACTGCTTTCTAGAGCTTTTGCTGACCCAGCACAGCATCAGACATTGCTGCTGCCTCAGCAGTGCTCCTACCCACACACAGCCTATTGCAGGCACCTACTGTATGTGCTGTTTGGTGGGGGTGGTGACTTGATTAAAGAAATTCTAATCCTTCTTTGACAATCTTTTGATGTATGCGTTTTGTGTAGGCTCTGGGCAAGGCACACTTATTGGGCTCAGTCTATCAAATGAGATTAATCTGTCTTCAATATTGCAAATTCTTTTGAGAAAAGAGTGCAATTTGAACATCTGTCAAAAAGTGGTCATGTATGGAGACTATTCCATTGATACAAAAATAACCCTTGTGCCGTGTGTGCCTTCTTTCTCTTTCCCTCTCTCACATGCACATACAAAACTTCTTGAACATCCCCCCCTCCCCCGCCAATTTCTGGCACCACAAGTTTGTTTTCACTTCTATTCTTTTGTCACTTAAAAATGTTATATTAAATGAATATGAAATGTGACATTTGTGAAATTGTAGTCTAATACCCTTAAGATCCATCATTGTTGGGTGTAACAACTTGTGCATTTTTTATTGCTGAGTAGTATTCACTTTATGGACATACCTCAGTTAGCAATTCATCTATTATTAGCATTTTGGTGGATTTCAGTTGGACTGTTACAAATAATGTAGCTATGAACAATCCTGCACAGGTTTTTGTATGGATGTAAGTTTTCATTTCCCTGTGAGAAATGTCCACAAATCCAAATGTGTGACCATACGGTTAGTATATTCTTAGTTTTTATAGAAACTACCATTTTCCACAGTGGATGTACCATTTTATATTTTCATCAGCAATGTATGAGTAATTTAGTTTCTGTCTTCTTGCCAGCATTTGGTGTTGACTCTAGTATTTATTTTAGTCATCCTGGTAATGTGTGGTGTGCCTTTTTGTCATTTTATTTTTCATTTTTCAGATGGAGAGTGATGCTGAACATATTTTCATGTGTAGTCATTTACCTCTTTTGGTGAAATGCCTCTCGTTTTTTTTGTCCACTTTATATTGGGTTGTCTTTTTATTGTTGAAAGTATATGGTTTATAAATACTTTCTCCCAGGCTATACATTTTTTCCTTTTCTTCATCACGTCTTTCACAGAGCAAAAGTTTTATATTTTGATGCTCATTTTTTTTTATAGATTATGCTCTTGGAGCCAAATCTAAAAATTCTTTCTTACCCTAGTTTCTGAGGAGTTTTTGAAAGTTTCAGAATTTACACTTAAATCTATAATCCATTTCAAGTTTTATATAAGGTGTGAGGTTTATGCAGAGGTTCGTACTTTTGCCTGCCTCATACCAAATGTTTCAGTATCATTTGTTGAAAAAATTATTTCTCTTTTTGTACTTTTGTCAAAATCAGTTGAAAGTAACTGTGTAGGGCTATTTCTGGTCCTCCATTTCATTCTGTTGCTCTCCAGTAGGTCATAGTCTTGATTAGTGTAGTCCTGAGATTGGATAGAATGATTCTTCTCATTTTAGTTTAATTTTCCAAAATTGTTTTAGCTACTCCTGTTCCTTTGCTTTTCTATATACATTTCAGGATTATCTTATCTATAGTTACAAAAAATCTTGTTCAATGGTACAGTGCTTGCCTAGCATGTATGAGGCCCATTGGACTCTTTCCATCTTAATTAATCTTCTAATTTGAGTTGACCTACTCCAAAGTCATGTCAGATCAGGAAGTCACAAAGCAAGATCAGGCATTCATGGGTGTACTTGGAGGCCTCATCAAGCAGGTGGCGATGTTGTACTAGGAAAAGGCCTCAGTGTTAATTTAGGCTAAGGTGTTTTTTTTTTTTTAATTTTTAAAATTGTGCCAGGTGGAGATACATTGTGGCATTTACAAAAGTTCTTACAATATGTCAAATACATCATACCTGAATTCACCATCTCCAATGTTCTCCTTTATCCCCTGCCCCCATTCCTAGAAGTTTCAATACGTCTCATTTTTCCATTTACATACATGTGTATATAAATATATTTATTTTACCATATTCACCCTCCCATGCCCTTTACCCCCCCCCCACACACACTGGTACCAAACTCCCACTCCCTCCCCCGCAGGCAGGACCTGTTCCGCCCTCCTGTTCTCCCGATTTCGGTTAAGGAAAAAAAAAAGACATTTTTTGTTTAAGATAGTTACACAGGGAGTTTCCTTGTGACATTTCCATGTATATGTGTATTAGAACCCAAATTGGTTCATCTCCTCTATTTTTCTCCTACTTACCTTAATTCCCTTCTTATGGTTGTTTCAAGAGTTTTAAATATTCTACATTCATTCTTGTAGAGTACATCAACCATGCTCACCTTCTTAACTTCTTTTACCCTCCACCTCACATATGTGACCTCTCCTTAGCATGACCTGTTTTTATTTGTATTAGGTATATATTCCACATGAGAGAAAACATGTGGCTTTTGGCCTTCTGAAGCAGTTTTTCCTTTCTCCTCCTAGGATTCTACATTATTTCTGCTGGGCCACCAGGGAGGGGACAGGAAGACAGGCTGAGGAGTGACTTACATGTTCCATTTGTTACTTCTTTATATGTAGAAGCTCCTGAAAGGGAGAACCCACTGAAAACTGTGAAACAGAAAGTGCAGGCCTACAATGCATCAATTCCATTATTCATTCCGATTTGGAAGCCACATTACATTGAATTGCCCAACCACAAGATCTGTTAAGCTTCCCTTCCCCATCACAGAACATGTCCCCAACCCATTTCCACCACGGGAACCTACTGAGAAGCCAAGAATGTGAGCTAAATGTGGCAGAGCAAGAGTCAGAAAATGGGTGGGGAGCCAGGAAGGCAGAAGAGGCTAGCTGTGGGCAAGAACCATAGCCCATTTTCTCCTACCGCTTCTGCTCCACGATTAGTGCTAAGGGATTGAACAATTACCCTCCTGTGGTAGTGGTGATGCCTCCGCAGTTAGAGAACCAGGGCTCTGGAGCTGTCTCCTCCCCATACATGGCTGCATTTTACCTCCCAGCGTTTGGTACCATCTGCTACTCTGCACCCAGCACTTCATTCTTTCTGTGAGGGTGTTCTACCTTCCCCTGGGTGGTGGTTTCTTTTCCAGAAAATCATGTCTCTGGTCAGCATTCCATCTTCTTTGCCAAATCGTCAGGTTTAGGAATTCATTTTATCCTTACAAACCAGAAGGTTGGCCTGCTACCCTCTGTCTTATTCATCTTGACAAAAGACACAAGATTCCTGGGTCAGAAGCAAAGGACTTCACTTATGGCACAGCACACACAATGCATCCTGGCACATTTGTGTCTCCAGTTCACAGGGGCAACACAATGGATCTGGATGGATTCTGGGCATGAGTAGGTTCATGCTACAGAAGAATACGAAGCATGAGGCACATAGCACTTTTATAGCATGCAGTTAAGCCTCAAGGTCACTCATTACATAAATCCAGACAGATGGCTCACGAAAAACTCATCAAAACTACAAGCAGTTTTGGCACATCCAGCAGGATATGCAGGCACATTAGAGACTCAAGAGGACTGACCATAATTTCCAGCGATTATCCTTTTTCTATGTTGTTCTGTTCACTCTTTCATGTATTTTACTCTTAACCTGTCTATAAACTGACGCCTCATGCAAAATAGGTCCTTATGCAATAAAAAATAAGACAAGGGGCTAAGAAATGACAGATAGCCTGATCAAACATACTATCAAATTATAGTTTCAAAGACTGAAGAATAATTCCTTCAAAAGTTTGGCTATCACTGTCAGCTACTTGTCAATTGCAAGTGGAACTGAGAGCTGTAGGAAACTTTTCTGGTCCATCTTTCCTTAAGAGAACTATTATTACTGCCAGTCCCTAATATAAGGACTGTCATAAAATACAGTCCAGGAAGGGCCACTTCTATTTTTCTAGAAAACTCCTGGATCTGATGAGGTTATAGAACTGCCAAGGCAACAACTACCTGTTGCAAAGAAGATCCAGTAATTATGCCCTTGGCACAATGCTGAAACTACCACTCAGTCTAAGAGCTGAGCATATGAAAAAATCTTTTTCCTATGAGTTATTTTGGTCTTAGAAAACCCCGAAAAATGTGTACCATGGTTTAATATTTAGGTTCCAAGGTTTTATTCTTTAGAGACACACTAACTATAATTGTTATAAAATCACAACCAAACTTTAATAAGTCCTAGACTTTAATTCATAACAGTATAAGGGACAAGTATCTAGGACTAAAACAAGAACAAAGAAGAGATCAATGGCCACAATAATCAGCATAAGGATATTGGTAGTTATATTTCAGATCCACACAAAACCATAAGACTTTAATTGATATCAATAGTAGATACTATGAAGAAGGAGCTGCTGACCTGGAACTTATGTATGTGCATTAAGGTCAGATGACAAAGGTTGTTTTGGTAAATCAGAAGGTACAGAAAAATAAAGTGATGGAGACAACAGGCGATTTTATTCATATGGCACATTTTTCCCCCCTAAGCAATTTAAAAAAAAATCTGAAAATTCCACAATATTTTTCTGCATTTCTATTAGATCTCAAAGGAAAATAATAACATTATTCTCTTGAAATCTACAGTGATGAAAATAAAATGAGCACTTAAATCATGATGTTTTAACACAGGATCATATCACTTTATCAGGGTTATGTTTAGGGGTATAAAATGCTAAGTGTGTAAGTATAAAAATGTTAGTCGCTAACCAATTACATATTACAACCAAATTCGTATTGGAAGGTATTTAATTTGAACAAAATTAAGTTCCTGACTAGCTTAAAATGAAGCTTATAATGTAATGAGACAAAATGGAAGTAGTTTAAGTAATAAATGTTTAATCAAAGAATTTTACATATTATTAACAGCATTCGTTTGGCCAAACATCTACACGTTCGTAGAATCCTACTGTATATAAAGTGGGAATGTATCAAGTATAGACTATGAAAGTGCAAATAACAAGTCAAGGTTAGATTATTTTTTTTTTACATTATAAAATTAACTTGTTTACAAAATAGGCTTTGCCAAACTTTATTACTGAATTGTAAAGTCAATGACTGTGTTGTTTTAAAATATGTACCAAGGAAATACAAACTGGATGATCACGTTTCATGCTCAGGAGAGACCACACAGAAACAAAGGCTACTGCACAAGGTGCAAGGAAACCACAACCCAGCACGAATGGATCTTCACACAGAGCACTTCTCTCCTCACTGCAGCTGTGCAAGACACCTCAATGTGATGCAAACTCCATTTTCTCAGTCTAAAAACTTAATGGTGTTAATGTGTTTAATCCAAAATAATTGTAAAAAAATCCTTTATGGACTATTTCAGTTTAATATACAGTAATACACTGTAGATAAAGTTAATATTTCCCTCCACAAACTTTAATAGGCATTTGATATCAGTGTTTCTGATAACTGGAGAAATAAAAACTAATGTCAACCTTCGATATTCATGGCATAGGAGTAATTCCCACACAGTTTATCTTGGGGAAACATGGGGAGTTTTCAATACTCTAATATAATTTGTCCTGGCCTTATGAATTCAAAGTAAAGGATATTTCAAAAGCAGAGTTTGGAAAAAAAAAAGTAATCAAAAACTATAATCAAAACTCACATAGATATTGATAGTAAAAATTACCTTTTTCCTGGCCTAGGACTTGCCTGTACACACACAGAACAGAAATTTTGGTTTCTGCAGATTTCTAGTAACAATCTGGCAAAACATTAAATGGAGTGCTGCACATATCTATTTTGCTTATGTTATGCTAATTTTGATAATATGTAAGTAAAACAGCCATTTCAACAGTTTACTCTAGGTTTTAATTACACACTGTACCATTGTATCTTAATTACAGCTAAGACCAGTATTTTCTTCACAGTTATACGACACTGATAACTAGGAAGTTGGTTTTTTTCAATACTAAACAGTAATCACACAGCAAATGAGTATTGTGCAAGAGAACAAACACTTGTCAGCATTTGCTCTTTAGGCAAACAAACTGAATGGACATTTAGTTGTTATATTTACTGTAAAGGCAAGGCCATGGGTGGTTTTATGGAGGTCTTTGCAATCCGTAGCATAGTTACTTCAGAAGAAACATGAAATTGGAATTAATGACTTATTTAACTGGCAACTATCCATTTAGGTTAGGCAAAGGCACAGTAACATGTTGCGCAGGATGTTTTATTCAATTTTTTAATAATTGTGGGATTTACTATAACTCATGAAAACTCCACTTTTTTCTATTTTATAAAACACCATTAAAAGTAATTGCACCCATTAGTAATTAGAATGCACTGTAAAACTGTGAAAACAAAGAACTATGATTGCACTTCCAATAAAGTGTCTCTTAAAATACAGCACCGCTGTTGCTAATCAACTGTATTTTAATATGAAAATAAACTGTTCTTAACAGCAGCATTAGGTTTAGTTAACTTAAGCTACAGGCTACATTTATTTAAATGCAGTCTCCATGGCAACAAAAGCCCATTAAATTCTGGAACATCATTACTACCGAATGGCACCTATTACTTCCAAGAATGCTGACACTGCCCTGGAGCATGTTAGGATGCTGCACACCTGAATGCCTTGTTAGTCAGCACATAAGTCAGAGTTTGGCACAATGGACTGTAAGTAGACATGAGAAAAAATATTTGATTCATGTAAAAATTAAAATTAATTATACTGTAGTATTTGCAGCACTAAAGAGAGACCTTGGATAGCTCAATTCACACTGCTCAGACAAAAAAAGGAGAAAGAAAGTTATGAAAGAGCACAGAGAGATTGAGGACATACATGTCATCAGATTGGTCCAAACCAAACTTCTAAAATGAAGAAAGCTTTTTTTTTTTTTGTCTTTTTAAAGAGGAAAGCCATCCAAAGATCAAAGATTAGGGAGTAAGTCTTTGATTTAAATGTTCAATTTAAGTATTGCCAACTCTAGGCTAAACAGAGCACTGCATTTTCTTAGAATGTGGATTACAACTTGTTTATTCCATTTGTGTTTTTCTTGCTCTCCTGCTCTTCATTTTGTCAGTAAAAAGGGGAAAAGCTACCCAACTAAACACAAAAGAAATTCCCTGTAAGTTTAGATCAACAATGAAGCTACCATTCAAGAGGAATTCTTTGTATTCAATCCTAACTTCAGTGGTTTATAATTGAATTGGAATTAAGTGGATCAAAGTCTCTATAAAGCATACTCCACCTAGCATACCATCTGTACCTGTGATTCATTTGGAGCCCAGATGTGTGCAGTTCATACTAAATGTACTTGTTCAAGCCAATCACTTGAGGTTTGAGGTGTTTGACTTGAAACATCTGAACCGACCCCTCTGTTGGCTGCTTCATTACCACTGTCAGCAGCTTCAGACGATGCTTCCCCAGCCAGAATATTCTCTTCCAAAGGATTCTCTTCTATCTGGGTTCCTCCACGTTCACTGACAGCAACATCTTCAAATACTGCATCTTCTTCTGGTGGCACCAGTTCCATGGCCCTCATACCTTCTGACCCACCTTTGATACCGGGAAGCTGAGAATCTGTACTAATTTCAGTAGTTGCTGGAGGAATCAGGGCAATGCTCTGAGGGTTCATGTCATGAAACCAAGCCATGATATTGCCAAGAAGATTGTCATTGATATTGGGTTCATGGCCAGCTGAGTCAGGGTCACTGGATGAGGGACACAAATCACTTCGTGCCTCACTGAGAGGGTGTGAACTCAAGGTGTCAGTTGAAAATGGATCACTTTCTGCTCCTAGTCTCATGAGGCTGTCACCAAGTTCCAACAGCTCAGAGCTGCTCAGTGCACCTCGAGCGCTATCTGTATTCCTAGGGACAGAGTCCAGTCTGGAGGGTAAAGAAGTGCCTATTGCTCCTAGGGATGCTTCATTACTGAGGAAGTCTCTAGTTTCTTCATCAATGGCCAGTCCAGACTCTTGCAGTGACAACTGAATTGCAAGAAGTATATTGGGATCATCTTCATCCAAGGAACTCAGAGCCTGAGCCAACAGAAAATAAAACCACTTTAAAATTTGACTAATGCAAAAATAACTGAATCAGATTTACCATTCTTCCTTTATCAAGCAGGTAATTTTTTATTTTTACAAATTATACATTCAAATCTTACTATAATTTTCTCTTTGTCTATGCTAACGGGAAAACAGACCAAGATAAATGTGAAATATAGGAATCTTTTCTTCTACAATGTCTATGAAATGAACATTTTACAATGGAAGGAAAAGGAAAGCAGTAAAAGTACAAATAGGGAACCATGCTGAACAGAGAAAGAGTAAAAGCATGGGCATGAGAATGTCTTGAAAAGTTACCTGTAGAGAGTCCTGGTTTTCAGAGTGACTGGCAGGCGTGTAGTCACGCAGGGAAGAACTGTGCAGCACACTCATAGACGCAGAACTTACCACAGATGCGCCAGGCCTGCGGCCGCTGCCACCCTCTGGAATATCTGCTTCAAAGCAATTGGAACAGATAATTTAGTGACAAGTAAGATTCATTCCTTTGTCTATACATCTTGCTATTTAAATTGACAATTTCTCTTTCAGAGCCAATGCTCACATACATGTTTACTCAATCTTCCTGGGATTTCTCTGTGTATTTATCTCACTGTAAGCAGTAATATGTATCTAACACCATCACTTCAATTCTGTGACTACTTTTACATTTTTGCTTGCACTTTGTATTTCCTCTAAATACAAGTGCTACTGTCCATTCCTTTATCATTTTCCTTAAGTAATAACAAATAAAGGTATTTCTGTCTTCAGATTTCTTCTTTTTGGGGGGGGGCAGTACTAGAGTTCGAACTCAGGGCCTTGCACTTGTCAGGCAAGTGCTCTATCACTTGAGTCATGCTTTCAGCCCTTCTATGCTTTAGTTATTTTTTGGATAGGGTCTTTTTTTCTTTTTTTTTGGTCAGGCCAGCCTCACAGCCTCAGACTGTGATACTCCATCTCCTGAGTGGTGGGATTACAGTCCTGAGTCATCACTCCTGGCCTTCAGATTTCTTAAAGAATTTGGGGAATTAGTGCCTGAAGAGCAAATCTTTAATCCTGACTTTATAGTTTGGAGATCCTGACATTATAGTTTGGAGATCTTCAACTAATAATTTAGCGCTTAAGAATGTTTCTAGGAAAACTAAGGCTATGAGAAAAATAGTCTATGAACACAGTAACATGCTCATGAGGTGTTTTACATGTGTTATCTAACTAAATGCTCACAATGAGTCTATGAGGAGGCACTATTGTTTCTTTAGAATGAGGAAACTGAAGATTAGAGAGGTTAAATGTCTTGACTAAAGTTACAGCAGAGATGGTGTCATAAACCCAGGTCTGTCCAACTCCTAAACACATGCTTATAACTCTCATTTTGTGGTATCCTGTGACATTTACTGTGTTTCTAAATTATAAATTCACAAGGATTGACATCAGCCAGTTTTAAAAGTAAGCTCAGGAGAACTAAGAGATTAAACCATATTCTACCAAAGAGCTTACCTAAAGTGCTTTCACTTGGCTCATCAGGGTCAGGAGGATTACTGAGCAGACTGTGCACATCTCCTCGCCGGCGCTGCTGCCTGTGCCTCCTCCGATACTGAAATTCAGCATATTCCTGCATAAACCAAAGGTTATAAAATACGGGAGAGCATGCAATTTTTAAAAATGCAAATAAAACAGACAATACACTTTTTTTCCAGGGGAAAAATGTGTGATTTTATACATATTATAAAATCACTTGACTTTAGAAAAAGAAACTTCAAGTTTTGCCATGCCAAGGAAATGGAAAAAGCAAAAGGAAAAAGAAAAATTTCAAATACTCATTACAAGTGCCTAGATAAACTAGGAATACTTGCAGGGCCCAATGCTAGATTACAACTGAATGCTACTTTATCTGCTTGATGATTTTATCTTGTCACCTAATATTATAATTTCTTATCTAATATTATAACTAATATCATAACCATTATACTAACAAATGCAAGAGGGACAGGGGAAGAACAAAAAAAACAACAGAAAACCCAAACTTGTTAAGTATTTGCACAGTTGAACTTTCTATTCTTTGCAAATACTATATACCATACTCACAAGTCAAATGACTAGATGAAAAAGAAAAATGTTAGGTTAGCTTTAAAGTAAGATGCTACTGGGGTTCCTCTCCCTATTAGCTAATATGTGGTGTTATCTACAACATAGGAAAGGGACATGTTTTCTATTTAGCATGTGGGAAAAACACATATTTAGGCAAATGTTCATGAATCTAATTTACATTTGTGACAATAGTTTGTTTTGTTTTTTGGTGGTACTAGGGTTTGAACTTAGGGCTTCAAGCTTACAAAGCAGGAACACTACAGCTTGAACCACACCTCCAGTCCTTGTGACAACAGTTTAAGGTAGGTTTGTTATTACCACAGGCTATGACCTTGGAGTATCTACTATAACTTAGCTACAAGTGTGTTTTTCCAGATTTTAGAGACAGAGAAATTAGAATAAAAGGGAAGCCAAGGTATATGACAGTGTAAAAAGACTGGATTTAAGAATCACTGTAGACTCTTCCAGTGCTAAACACTAAGATCCTTGGGTTTATGATTATCTCAGTTACTCCAGAATATTCAATATACTTGTACAGTGAAAGTATGAGTAATAGGTGAAGATAAGTTATATATCATTGAATATTATTGTACTACTCTAGTTAAATTAATTTTTTGTGGTACTGAGAATTGGATCCAAGGCCCTGTGCATGCTAAGTGCTTTACCACTGAGCAACACCCCCAGCTCATTCTGGTTAAATTTATTCAAATTCCATCTATCTGAGTTCCGATGACTCTTATTAAGAGGTGGAGGGCATCTTATGAGGTGAGAAATCAATGAATGAAAGATACTGTAATGAAAATCCTGTAAGGGATTACTTAGTTTCTTTAAAAATTTCTTTGTGGGCCGGGGCATTATTTCCTCTTTTCCTGGAGGCCCATAATCTCAAACTGGTTGACTTATGTGTCATCATGGCTTCTAGATTACTGAAGACCACAATATTTCTTAAAGATTATATTAAATTTATCTGAATTAAAGGTTTATAGTTAAGCAGAACTTGCTTATTCTGTAGCTCTGATGACAATACAAAGTTATTCTGAATTATATAAACTATTACTGACCAGAATATACATGCATCTAATTTGAAAAACAGCTGCAAAAGAAACCTGTTATATTTTTAACTATTCTGATACAAAACCCTCAAGTGGTATTCTTTCATGATACGAGTGGTTTAAAAGAACTGTTCTCATAAAACTATCCAAAAATTTCCAAGAAATCTTAAGATCTTTAAGTAAAAAATATTAAAAGGCCTTTAGTCAGGATGCTCCTCATGGTTTGAGAGTATTAAGGTCACAAAGAAGATTAAAAAGTTCTCAGATTTATAGGGGAAAAAAAACCTACCAGGATTTTTTTGTTTTAAATAATAATAGACAACATTTACTTGCATCAGTCTTCTCACTGCCTTAATGAGATGCTTTAATCCTTCCAGAACTTCCACTGGGTATCACTGCCCATATAGTGGGACTGGAGTTTGAGCTCAGGGCCTCATGCTTGCTAGGCAGTGCTCTACCACTTGAGTCATTCCACCAAGCCCTTTTTTGTGGTATTTTTGAGATACTAGTCTATTTGCCTAAGTTGGATTCAAACTGCCATCCTCCTGATCTTTGCTTCCTTAAGTAGCTAGGATGTCAGGCGTGAGCCACTGGTATCTGGGACTGCGCATATTTTAAAGATGAGACATTAAGGACAAACACGGTCTAAGATCTAACAAGTTAAGAACTAAAATGTGAATTCAACTGTCCCTCTGATTTCAGGACTATGCTGTTTCTACAAGCTCTACTGTCTTTAAAGTGGCATGAAATAAATATTTCCTGTTATGACCTCATTCAATTTAATTTAAAGAGAATAACATGAATTAACTTCAGTGAAAAAATGGGGTCTGGTAACATTATTTTGTTTCCTATAGTCTGTATTAAGGGCAAAGAACTAATTTAAAAAGTGTAATTTTGGCAATTACTTGAGACAGTTACATACATATAAACTTTGAAAGTCTTACAATGTGGTAACCCTAGACTTACAGTAAAGTTTACATAAAAGCCTGGTGTTACAACGTGCAAGACTTTAAAGAAAAATAAAAGGAAATAAAGCAATTTTCATCAAATTTGTCAATTCACACACACAAAAAAATTTAACTGCTAATTGTATTTCAGGACAAATATTTCAGGATTCCTGAAGTTACTGCCAGAGTCCAAAGCTGCAAGATGTTATATATGTAACTGTGAATACACTGATCAAGTTTTCATTTTTGCTAAATTGTGTTCGTTTTTTGATAAATGAAACTTTTTTATTCGTTTGCTTAGGCAGAAATTTTACATAATATCCCCCAAACTGTAATCACATTATAACACAGAAAATTAAGTTCAGAATCAGGTAAAGAAAAAAGTTCTTAGTTTGTTTTACAATAGAAGTTCATTAGTATATTAATTTTTGTGCAATTTAAGTGGACTTAAAATTTCCATATGTGCTCTAAGCAGTTATATTCTCAAGTCAGTATTTTCCTGTATCTAACAATACAAAAGGCCACAGGGTGATTGCAAGTATCCTCAGCAGCTGAAAAGACAAAATCTGATTTAAATAAGCCACGGTCATTTCTGGATAAAAATGACAGTTTTTTTTTTTTTCAGTTCCAGAAAACAAATGGTTGTATCATTTGTCTGTATAAGAATTAAGTTGAAGAATTATCATAATCTATGTTATCAAATGGTATCCTATTTTATAAAGAGCAAAGGAAAGAGCAGTGGAGAGGTGGAAAGAACTGCTAAAATCATCTTAAAATCAGACGTAAGAGTGACAGTGGTAATTTAAACCACAGAAAACAGCTAGACAGCTAAGATTTTCACTGTCTTATTTTCATTTGTCATGATTGCTACTCGCAGTGTTACCTCTATATTTTAAAATGGCCTATCAATAACAAGAACAATGTGAATAATAAGAAAAAAGGAAGAATGTGAAAATCTTAAAGGGAACCTGCAGCAACTAAGCAAAACATTTCTTTCTATATAAACATTATTACTGTGAAATTTTCTACCTTCACAATTGTTTATAAATGAATTATCTTAAGATTCTGCATTAACTTCAAAGCATAGGTTGTTCATTTAGGTTTTCAATAGATACAGGCTAGAGTAACAGGATAATTAGAAAAACATTTAAAACAAAATTACAGCACTTATTAAATTAGAAACTATCTTTTAAAAATGTATGTTGTAAATTTGCTTAAATTCTGTTTACTAAGTAAGAAAAATAAAAGGGGAATGCAATTAACTATATGACACTCCAGTATAACAAATATCTGAATGTAGGCTTTGCTGACGCATTTTTGTTACAAAAGAAAGAGAAAGTATTGCTAATAATTTCATAGGGTTTAGAATAGATGAGGGTGCAAATGCAAGCAGGGTTCACTAAGGAAAAGTACAAAGCAAACCAAAAAAACCCCCAACAAACAATTACCTCAGGTGATGCAAATCCTAAATATTCCCAATCCCATGTTCCACCAGCAAAGCTATAAAGAAATTAGACATACCATTTGATTTATTGTCAGCACTACAAAGTACACACAACCAGACTTTTGTCCTTTGAACTTTTAATTCTTCTGCTCAGAATTTGCTTAACCAAAGTAGATCAACTATTTAAAATATAATTATTTTCATTAATCCTTTCAAATTCTAGGTTTAAGTTTGTGAAAATGATGGAAAAAAAATAAAAATGACTATGATACAACAAAGTATTTTATGATTACTTCTAATCTTATTTTATAAATAACTAATACATTTCATTATAAATAATTTTGTAAAAAATAAAGTTGATGGAATCTGTAATACTTATAATTCTTAAATAAGAAAACATGCTTCAGTTTATAATGGCAGAAGTGGTATAAATATCTGGGGAAAAAACTGAACAACCAACACAACTGTTGTTAAAGGGATGACTATGGATTACTTAAATAAATAACTTTACTAACTGAAGTTTTCACATTTTTTGTTTTTTACAATTTCTTCTTTCTTTCTTTATTTTTTTGGTGGTACTGGGGCTTGAACTCAGGGCCTTCACCTTCGAGTCACTTGAAGATAAGAGTCTTGCGGAACTATTTGCCTGGGCTGGCTTCAAACCACAATCCTTTTGAGTAGCTAGGATTATAGGTGTGAGCCACTGGAGCCAGGACAGTGTTTTTTTACAATTTCTTTACACAAAAGTATAACTATGACCAAAACAAGGTGGCAAGGTTCCCAAATCCTAGATCCTAAGATGTTTATAACTGTCATCATATCACTACAAATGTTACACATTTAATTACACGTTAGAATTCTCTTTAAATTATGAATTTACTTGAAATGTGAGATTAACCTTGCCTAATTTAGTCTGAGGAATTCCAAGATAAGAAACAAAACACCAAGAAAAATAGAAGTAGTACTGAGGAAAAAGCATCACAAAAGAAGTTAGCATACTTTTATCAGCTATCTATATTTTAGATGTAAGTAACTTCCAGGAATATGAATGTTAGTTAGAAAAAAAACAAAAGTTCTGGCATTTGTGACTCAAGCTGGGGTCCTTTCCACAGACCACATCCTTTTTTACCTGCGCCTTGGAGCTTCTGGTGAGTCTGCAGGAGCGACTCCGCGAGCCACAGATGCAAGGAATTCTTGCCTCTTCTGCTGCACAAGGCAAGCTGCCTTGATGATCTTGTGGCGGGGTGTGCGAAGATAAGGCCTATTGACTTTTTGGGCAAGGTCTTCAGTGACCATTTCTAGGTCTGTCTATAGAAAGAAGAGGGAGAAAAAAGATTACATGCTGCATTGGTTGGTAAATAGCAAATCCAGAGACTATCTGGTTTCTCAGTTAAATCTCTTTTAAAGTTAGAAATCAATCCAAATTTTCAAACAATTTTCTGTTCAATGTATTTTCTATTTTGTACATTTTTTCCAGGTAATGAAAGGACCATATACAGTCATCTTAAATTCAGAAAAATAGCACTCATTTGACAGGCACTTATAGCAACATAGATGGTATCGATTATGAAGTAGTTGAGTAGAGCAACTGTCTACAAGGAATTTATAATTTGTGAAAAAAAACTAGCACATTTCAAGGTGCTGTACAAGAAAAAGCACAAATGCTATAGTGCAGACTACACAGAAACACCAAAGGAATTTCAGGCAGGGCAAGACTACTGTGATTTGGGGTTAGGTCTAGAAAGCTTTATGGAGAAAATGAATATTAAGCTTTGAAAGAAGTGTAGGCTATCATTTAGTAGAGGGAAGTTCAAACAGAATGAAATGAAAATTGTAAAGAAGAGAAAGTGTGGTGGGTTCAAACAAAAGGAATGTACAGTGCCACTACTTAGTTATAGTGATGTAAACTGGACAGGTGTTTTTGTTTTTTAAATACTGTAATATTCTCCATTTGATCCAGCAATACCACTCTTGGGGATATACCCAAAAGACTGTTACTCCAGAGGCACCTGCACATCCATGTTTATTGCGGCACTATTCACAATAGCCAAGTTATGGAAACAGCCAAGATGCCCCAGCACTGACGAATGGATTAAGAAAATGTGGTATCTATACACAATGGAATTTTATGCAGCCATGAAAAAGAACGAAATGTTATCATTTGCTGGTAAATGGATGGAATTGGAGAACATCATTCTGAGTGAGGTTAGCCTGGCCCAAAAGACCAAAAATCGTATGTTCTCCCTCATATGTGGACATTAGATCAAGGGCAAACACAACAAGGGGATTGGACTATGAGCACATGATAAAAGCGAGAGCACACAAGGGAGGGGTGAGGATAGGTAAGACACCTAAAAAACTAGCTAGCATTTGTTGCCCTTAACGCAGAGAAACTAAAGCAGATACCTTAAAGCAACTGAGGCCAATAGGAAAAGGGGAACAGGTACTAGAGAAAAGGTTAGATCAAAAAGAATTAACCTAGAAGGTAACACCCCACGCACAGGAAATCAATGTGAGTCAATGCCCTGTATAGCTATCCTTATCTCAACCAGCAAAAACACTTGTTCCTTCCTATTATTGCTTATACTCTCTCTACAACAAAATTAGAAATAAGGGCAAAATAGTTTCTGCTGGGTATTGGGGGGGGGAGAGGGAGGGGGCGGAGTGGGTGGTAAGGGAGGGGGTGGGGGCAGGGGGGAGAAATGAACCAAGCCTTGTATGCACATATGAATAATAAAAGAAAAATGAAAAAAAAAACTGAATACACTGTAAAAAAAAAAAAGAAATAAAAAAAATACTGTAATATTCTGAGTTGTATTTTTAAAATAGACTGGCAAAAAAGTAACTTTCTAATCTAGTATGTAATGTGGTTTGTTTTATCCTTGAAGACAAAATAACCTGATCATAAATAGGCCAGATTTCCACTTTAATCAGTTGAAAACAAAGAAATGTTAGCACAGCCCAGAACTCATTCAAACAAAATTAAACATAAGAAAATGTCAGCATTAATAAGCTGACATTTAAAAACCATTTTTAAAATAAGAACAAAATTGTTTTAGTAGTCACACCCAAATTAGTCAAAAGTTAGTTAAGTGATTGAAAGAGGAGAAAAACCTGTTTTCATAATAACTTTACCCCTTTTAAATATAATTTAAAAAGGTATCTTACTTGCATTAGTTCAAATATTTCTTTCTTTGTGCTTTTAGGTTCTAAGAAAAATCCATATGGGTAAGAACACTTGAGAATACGCCGAGTTTTTAAGAGCACATGAACTGCATCTTCAATGAAAGTGGTATCTGGACAGCCTCCTTCAGCTATAAAATAAGTGAGGCACAGTGAAATTTTTGTAAGTATTCTATTTATAAAATTAAACTATGTTTTTTTTAAATAAAAGAATTCCTGAGAGAAAAGTAAAGTATTTGAACTAGACTGACAATCTACATAAAACACTCATAGGTGACATGTCTATATTTATAAGTAAAGTACTGCTCCCACAGCCCAGTAGCCATGAAGGAATGCACATACTCATTCTGTTGTTACCCTACTGGAAAACAAATGTGGCTTTAGGTCAACACAAAGGATACCGCGTTACTAAAATTTTCATATTATCTCCCCGGGAATTTTGATGCTTAAGAATTTGAATCAATGCTTTTGCTAAGTTGCTTGCTTGCCTGCTTGAAAAAAAATAAGTTTAATAATAACTATGCCTCTGTAAAAACACCATTGTATGATAAAAGACACTACACTGTGAGGAACAACTAGATAACAATGTTAGGGAGAAAAAAAAAAAGGGAAGAAGATTGAGGAGGAGGGGGGAAAATTCTCTTAATAAAATAAGGCAAAGATATCATTATAACATTCTAGCTTTTTCTTCAGCTGCAAATAAACAGAAATTAAGCTATAGAAACTAAATAAATAATGCTGAAAATCAGCTTGTTCTGTATGCCTCTACAAAGATTATTACATGTGCATGTACACAAACTGATCTATAGACTGTCCTACAATTTCTGAGTACATTCAGTCCCAAGGGTTGGCATCTGAGCTAAGATGTAAAAAACAAAACAAACCAAGCACCCCTCCCCCTTGCTCATTGTGTGTGTGAGAAGCTTATGAAGTTCATTTCCCTTTTCAATTGCTATATATTTTTTTTGGTGGGCTGGGCTTTGAATTCAGGGCTTTGTGCTTGCAAAGCAGGTACTCTACTGGTTGAGCAATGCCTGCAGTCCAGTAAAAACTCTGGTTATTTTGGAGATGGGGTTTCATGAACTATCTGCTCAGGCTGGCCATGAACAGTGATCCTCTCAATTTCAGCCTCAAAGTAGCTAGGATTACAGGAATGAGTCACTGGTACCTGGTTTATACATTTGATTTTATATTTTTTCATATATTACTATGCTGCCTGGAACTTCAGGTATGTTGAACAAAAGCAATAATTTGAATCTGCAAATACTGAGTGTTTAATGTATGTTAGGCACAGTTCTAAGCACGAGGGATACATTAGTGATGAAATAGACAAAAATCCTCGCTAAAGGAACTATACACTCTGTGAGACTTTTCATTTCAATTTCATTGTAGGCAGTACTTCCAAAGTTTGATATTGGTACAATGTATTATTGATATCTACAAACTAATAATTAACAAGGAGACTAAGCTGATATGGACACTCTCTACTCCATTAGAATCTATTTAACTTATGCTTACTATCTTATAATATTAATCTCACAAAATGGATGTTAGTACTCATTTTATAAATGGAGAAAATGTAAGTATCACATTTTTAGGCTTAAAATACAGTTTTCATATACAAGATATGATTATTTAAAAAATGTTACTTTTAAAAACAAACATACAAGAATTTGAACTCAATGGAGTCATTGTGGGATATAACGTCCTAATGATCCAACCAACACTGAATTCATATTTAGGGATTTGTTTTTTATAACTTTCAATTAAGGATTCACAACTTAACCCTTCTCATAGCTTTGCTTTTTGACCTCAATTTCATTATTTGCCAGTGAAATGATTACTCCCCAAACTGCATTTGGCTTCTACTCCATTAGACATTATGCTAAATTTTCTAAAAGATTTCTGGATATTCAGTTACTTAACAATTGAATAGCATGTGTATCTTGTTCCCTTCAACTAGGTTAGAGTAACCACCAATCCACTTTTCTCAAGACTAGAACATCAGCAAAGCACAGAGTAAACAAAACTGTGATGTGTTTTTGTCTGCTACAGTGAAGGCTGCATTAAAAGGAGCTTTTAGGTGCCTGGTAGAAAACACAATCACAGCGGCCTCATCTGTTAGGCTGTACTCAGGGCTTAAAAGAACTCAAAGCAGTACCAAAAGGGGCTAATGGATCTAATGTATACCTATAGGGGCCTAACCTCCTACCAGTAAACTGACTTAGTTTGGAAGGATATTTTATATTAACTATCACATATACCACGTAGAACTTACTTTCTTTGAGAGCTCTACTCAATTGCTCCATCTTTTCTTTGGCTGTTTTAAGAAGGCGTTGTTCTAGCTAAAGGAACAGAAATAAATAATTTAAAGCATTCTCTTTATTTATTCATTCATAACAGTACAGTTTAGCTCATTTGAAATGATTTGGGACATACCTGGTAACTATGCTCATGGTTTTTGAATCTTGTATAATAGTGCATAAATCTGTCAAGTTCCTGAAATCGTTTATGTTTTTTCTCAGCCTAGGAAACAAAAGTCCATGGATGACTTTTTAAAAAACAACTATTAAAATTGGTTTTGGGGAGAATTATTTAATGTTTTTATTAGTAAAAGATAGCAATACATACAGATTTACTGATTATTCTGTTGAGCAAATATAAAATCCAATACATTTTAAAGGCTCCTAGAACAAAGTCTTACATTTGTATTCCCATGATAAACCACTAAACCTGTAACCCCACATCTTCAATGTTTTATTACATGGTTATTGCTATAGACTGATTTGAGTCCCCTCAAAATTTGTGTTGAAGCCCTAACCCCTAGTGTGTCTTGTTTGGAGACAAGACCTGTGAGGAGGTAACAGAAGTTAATAAGGTCATTAGGGTAGGATCTATTCTGGTAGGACTGGTACCATTATAAGAGGAAGAGGGGACCACAGCTCTCTTTCCCAGCCAACGTGAGGACATAGGTGAGAAGGTGGCTGTCTGTCTGTAAATCAAGGTGAGAACGCCTGCCAAGAACCAGTCACCTGGAATCTTGATCTTTAATGTCAGAACCTCCAGAAGTATGAGAAATAAATGTCAGTTGTTTAAGCTACCCAGACTATGGTAGCTGAACATACTAAGATACTTAACTGTATGTTGTAATAAAATATTGTATTGTTGAAATTATGTTAAAATTGTTTTTAAGTCTTTAGAGAGGCAGGCTGAAGCTGGACTTTTCATATCTTTAACCAAAATAAAAAATAGAAAACTTAAAAGAAAAAATCCTAAGTTTTAGAGCTATTTATTTAAATTAAAGGCCACTCTAAAGTGCATTCAATTTGATGCTTCATTAAGATGAAGACAGGAAAAGAAGAAATGGTATTAACAGGCTTATGCAATGGTGCTGGTTTAACAGGCTCTCTTTACCTCCACAGTCATTTCCTTGGACTGCTCCTCCACATGCTGAATAACTTCATAACGAGTACATCTGTAATAACCTCCAGTGGAAGAGCTATGCTTTTTCCATTCCTCTAGGCAAATCCAGCAAAAGTCATACTTGCACTTCAAAAGAAAACATATTATGTAAACATTTCTATGTTAATAGACAAATGATGTTCTGCTTTCTCATAAAACGATGTGTAATGATTAAACAATCCTGCTTGTGTGACCAGAAATGAATCTCAGAGATGTGTCCCCTTTATGTTTCCTTTGGATAGCTTATCTGTATTATGGAAAGATGCAGGGGTAGTTTAAAATTATTGATGGATAAATTAAATTGAAAATCAATATGTGAAGCAATCACAAGGAATCATTAAAAATATCAACAGGACACTTTCCAAATAATGAAAAAAGATACTGATAAATGTTTCATTTTTTAAGTGTGTAGTAATCTGACATTGGTCTATAAAGTTTCACCAGTCTATGTTGAAAACATCTGGTAAGTTTGACAAATTGAAACTGGAAATAAGTTCAAAAGGTACAACAACTGACATAAAATCTATTTCCCATTTTAAAGAAAATGTCACTTCCTTGTATACCATAAGTAGAAGACAATGCCAAAAATATGAGCATTCCAGTATGAAAATAAAATGAAATCTTCTGGTTTTAAGCTTATGGATTTTGAGTCAGTTAGAAAGATCTTCCATTCCAAATCTATTTGTCTTCTGTACTAAACTTATTTTTTAAAGGAACATTGAAATCTTTGAACTATTGGAAAAGTATCTGGGTATATAATATTACAGTAGCAATTTAATTTTATTTTTTCCCCACATAGCTGCTCATTTATCCCCAAACCACTTACTGAATATTGATGTTTCTTCACTGGGTAAGATATGACATTTATTATATATTAAATTCTTATGTAAGTGTGTACATTTTCTGGGCTTGCTTTCTATTCTGTTTCATGACCTGTTTATTCACATGCCAGCATTATATTGTTAATTAGTAAGGCTAATACGGCATATGGCTTATTATTTCACAAGGCTAGTTCTCCTGTACTTTTCTTTTTCAGTTTTCCTAGTTATTCTTACCTTGATTTTCCATATGAACTTTTTTTTGGCAGAAGTGGGATGTGAACCCCTCAACCCCCATAGGACATTTGAATTAAGATGCAGAAAAAAAAACTTGTTAATATTTTTGTTGTAATTTTCTATTTAAGACCTTGGGTGTATTCCCGTTTGTCTGTCATCTTTTCTGTCCTAAAGAGGACTTTAAAACTATTTCTATGTAAGTCTTGCACACTTTGGCTTATTTCTAAATGCATGACATATTTCTGAATGTACTCATCTGGATGCTGTTGGTGTGCATTATTATTTCTATGTACCAATTTTGTGCTCTGTTACTTAATAGAATTTCTATTGTTTGTAGCTTTTCAGTTGATTCTTGTGGATTTTCTAGGTATACAATCATGCATTTTCTAGGTAAAAATCATGTGATTTTTTTTCTTTTTTTTGAGACAGATCTCTCTATGTAGTCTAGCCTGGCCTCAAACTCATGATCCTCCTGCCTCAGCCTCCCAAGTACTGGGATTACAGGTGTGAAACACCCAGCCTGGATTAAAACAATTAATTTTATCACCTCATTTCTAAGTTTTTCACTTCTCACTTCTTTCTATTGTCTAATTATGGTGACTGGTATTACCAGTTCAATGCTAATAATATTGGTGATGAAGGGCATCCTCATTTTGTTCTCAGTTTAGGGAAATTACTTTTGGTGTCTCCATTAAATATGCTTATTTTTGGACGGATATATTTATTTTTATCATACTTAACAAGAATCCATTCTATCTCCCATTTTTTTTTTTTGAGTGTGTTAAAAAGAAAGCTTGTTGACTTTTTTAGGGGCAGGGAGAACAGAGGGCTTCACGCTTGCTAGGCAGGCACTCTACCACTTAAGGCAAGTCTCCATTCTAATTTTTTCTTTTCAAATGTCTTGTAGTATTTACAGAAAATATATATACTAGTAGATCTTCCTCTTTGGATCTACAATAAGATAAGTATCACAACAGCTTTCCTGATGTAGAACTATTCTTGTATTCCTGGAACAACCTGCCTGTCAATTACTCTCTATGTGTTCTGTTGGATTATATTTCCTAACATATGTGTGCGTTGCATACCTGTGTGTGGATGTATGTGTTCTAAAAGCTTATTGGGACTTTTGCATTGCTATTTACAAGTAAGATTACTGTAGAGTCTTAATTTTCATCATCTTGTCAAGTGGCATTACTGTTCTACTCACTTTATAAAAATAATTTGAAAGTTTTCTTAAAAAAATTCCTAGAAATAGTTTAAATAACATTAGAATTACTTGATCCTTCAAAGTTTGAAAAAATTCTAATGTGAAACTGTCAGGGCCCATGGAGAGGAATGGAGGCAGTCTACGGTGAGGAGATCTTTGAAAAACAATTTTATTTCCTCTATGTGAATGAGAATATTTGGATATTCTCTCTCTTCTAGGATCAGTTTTAATGACTTTTTCTTAGAAAATCAATACATTGAAATCCAAGTTGAAATACATCTGCAAGGGTAAGGTAAAGTTATTGTTTTAGTTTGTTTCTCTGGTTACTTCCTTTATTTCTAATACTGCATATGTGAACTCTTTCAACTCTATTTTTTTAATATTATGCTAGCTTAGAGATTTACCTATCTTATTTTACTTCAGAAAACTACTTTTTGGATTTATTGCTGCAATCTTTATCAGAATTTTAGTTCACTAATTTCTGCTTACAAAATCCTCTTGCTGGTTCTCCTTCATTTGTTTCTCTAAATTTTTGAAGTGCATTCTTAATTCATTATTTTGTATAGTTTTAAGTGCATAAGGCTGTACATATTTCTGAGCATTGCATTAGCTGCAACCCTCAGGTTCTGATAAATATTTTCATTATTTTTTTCTAGAAGTTCTTTAATTTCCATTTTTTAACTTGAGTTGTTTAAAAGTTTAAAAATCTCCATGTGAAAAGGACATTAGTAACTTTATTATTAATTTCCATTTTATTCCCTTAGAACCAGAGAATGTTGTTTACTACTATTTTTGATTTTCTGGAATGCTATAAAGGTTTTCTTTGACAGTCAATGGACAACTTTTTTGTGAGTGCTCCACAGGTACTTGAAAAGATAGCACTGTCCTCATTTCTAGGATATTGAGTTTGAATATATTTAACAATCACATATACCTTAGTAATATGGTATTTCTACCTTCTATTTCTTTACTAATTTCTTTGTCTGCCTGATACATCATGGACAGAGAACTGAATTAAAGTTTCTGTAATCATCTATCCCTTCACAACATGTGCTTACACAATAAGCTGTGAACTTATTTCATGGTTCTGATGAAAACTGTTTTCTTGCCCAGTATGAGCAAATCTTGTGCCTGATTTGATATAAATAGCCTTCAAAGCAACTTTACTAATTTCTCAAAATTAGAGACAAAACATTTATAAAACAGCCAAAGATTATCTTCTATGATGGGAAAGAATACAGAACTATGATAGTTTTTTTTTAAGTTGGAGCACATGTCTTATACAGACTCAGATGAAGAAAAATAAGTGAACATATTTAAGGATGAAAAACTTAAATAGTAACCAAAAATTATCTAGGGGGGAAATAAACAGAATAAAATCTTTTTAAAATAAATGAGTGACCTGGGTACATTGATTCATGCATGTAATCCTAGTTAGTAGGGAGGGTGAGATTGGGAAAATTGTGGTTCGAGGCCACCTTGGGCAAAAAATGTTTGGCAGACCTCATCTCAACCAATAAAAGATGGGTGTGAGGCCCATGCCTGTTATTCCAGCTATGCAACAAACATTAAAATATAAGGATCATGGCTCAGGCAGGCCCTGGCATAAATGTGAGACATGATGTGAAAAATACCTAAAGTAAAAAAGGGATGAAGGGCATGGATCAAATGGTATAGCACCTGCCTAGCAAGCAAGTACAAGGTCCTGAGTTCAAAACCCCAACATAGCCAAATAATAACAATAATAAACTTGTCATTCTTTTAAAATGCTTAACACATTTGATTCCAGACAGTTAAAAAAAAAAAGTCTACTGACTCATAATCAACACAGAGGCATATTATGATTTAGTCTTTGTGTTAGAGCTTGGGCTCAATTGTATGTGACATGATGTTATAGTCGTATCTTTAAAAAATATTCTGAAAGTATTCAATTTTTCTACAGCAAGGTTATTACCTTCTAGATAAGTCTTCTATGTCATAATAAGAATACTACTTTTCAGTTTCTATTTTCATTGCAATTATTTTAGATAGCATATTAAATAAGATGACTACATTTACAGAGCATGTAGGCAAAAATTTGTTTTAAATGCCATAGAAGCTTAAGCAGAATATGTTCAAGTTGGTACCTCTATGTCATTATTATGGTTAATTTTCCTTCATTCAATACATATTTATTAAGTACTTACTACAGCTAGGTGCTAGGAAGGATATAAAGGTACTGCTGGATTCTATCTCAGCAGCTAACTGCTGATTTCTATAGTCAATCTATACTCTTTAATACACCTAGGGAGTCTATATTGGATTTTACAAGAAAAAAACTAAAGACATTGAAGATAAGATCATAATAAGATAAAGTATTTTTAATTTAATCCTTAGCTAAGCTAATAAGCACTTTTGAGAATTTGCTTAGAACACTGTACTAGGTTTTTTCTTCTGGCTCTTAGAGAATCATTACTGCTTCACTAAGCAAATTCATTCACATTAATTTTGTAACTATATGGAGTCATAAAATAATTAGTAACCACCAAATATATAATAACTTGCAAAAACCATAAATATGTTTATATATATAAAATGATCATTAAGCTTCAAGGTTAAAATTCAAGAGTAATTCTTATAATCACATATCTTATTGGAATTTTAGTCTTTCATATTCTAAATTAGAAAAAATTACATTGTCGATTAAATAATTTTAAATAATCATTTTTAACACAGCACTTTGAATAAAAGGAAAAAAATTGAATGACATTACAATTTTGTAGCAAAAATGTTTAGAAATACAGGTGTACATTAACAAAATATTGTTACTCTCACTCCAGAATATTTGTTTTAAACATATGGCAGTTTCTTTCTGTGCAATGAAGTCAGGTGGGCATATTCTATCTAGACTGCAGTCCTCTAAAAGTCATTATTTATATTAATTGGTTTTCAGCCAAGTGGATCTTTGTTGGCATTTTAGGTAAGTAATACTACTGGATTACTTACTTTATTGATGGTTTCATTAACAGAATAACATTTCTGCTTTGAACTGAGAAACTAAATTAAGATTCCAACTGTAAAGCATGCAAAATACTTTTTAATGTCTTACCTTAGCACACTGCATGTGATTGCAGCCTTCATTCTTCTGTATCGGAGACTTACAATTAGCACAAGGCTTGGAGTTAGTTAACAACCAGAGACAATTGGCAGCATCCTCATAAGCTTCACTAACTCCTACAACTTTGGGATAGTAAGCACAAACATAAAAGTAAATGATTTAGAACACAACTTCGGGACGGGGCAGGGTGGGCAGAAACAGACTTTTCTTTGCAGGTTGTTTCTCCTTTTTAAGTATTTATGCTCCTATTAAAGACTATTGCGAAGTTTTTGGACTACTTGATTTTGAATAATTATTAGAAAAGGTGTTGTATACCAAAAGTCCTATTTATAAAACATGGTTTAAAGGAGATTTCTCTGTGAATTTGTATCCAAATGAATTCAGAAAGTAAAAAATCCAAAGTTAAAAAGAAAAAAAAAAAAGCAATGTTACTTTGTTTAAAATAACTATTCAAGAAAATTATAGAAAGAATGATTTACTTTAGACAGTAATTTCTAAAACAGGGTACTTGCAAACACAATTACTGGAAACTTTTTTTACTATAGTGAAAAGAATGAGATACCAACTTTTTTTTTTTTTGGGCAGGGTCTCGTTAGTGTAGCCCTGCCTAAACTCAGACTCAGAATTCTGCCTTAGCCTCCAAATGCTGGGATTACAGGTGTGTACACTATGTCTGGCTCAACATCTTTTTTAATTCATGATTACTTTGGGTAAACTTAAAATGAATCTAATGTGATATGCCTAAAACTAAAGTAAACTAACATTTTGTCCAATCTTTTTTTCTTTCTATCCTCTATCGTGAAAAATGACCAGATCATCTGTCCATAATCAATCTACGAGGAGTACTGGAACACCCTCCTTGTTCCCTTACTAATGGACATCCCATTGATTCTACTACTTTCTCCCGTTTGCTCCCCATTTCCACTTTTTATTATTTTAGCAATAGCCCTCCACACCTCTTGCCTAGACAACAAAAGCACAGAAAACCAATCTATTTCCCTAGCTCATTCCCTCACTCACTCTCAACCATGCTGCCTACACAGTGCTCTTTTCAAAATAAAAATCTGTTTAAAATCTTTCAATTGCTCCCCACTACATACAAGATAAAATTAAATTACTTTAGCAAAGAATACAAAGTCCTTCATGATCTGGCCCATTTACTTGGTAAGCTTCTCTTACCCTCTCAACAACTTTTCATTCTTTTCTTGGGTTGGGGTGGGGGCAGTACTGGGGTTTGAACTCAGGGCTTTACATTTGCTAGGCAGGCACTCTAATGCTTGAGCCACACCTCCAGTCCTTATTGTTCTGGTTATTTTGGGAATAGGATCTTGCTTTTTGATGAGGTCAGCCTGGACCATGCTATTTTCTGTTTGCTGCCGTAGCTGGAATGATAGGCACGCGCCACTATGCCCATCTTTTTGTCTTTTGAGATGGGATTTCACAAACTTTTTGCTTGGGCTGGCCTCAAACTGTGACCCTTCTAATCTCAGCCTCCCAAGTAGCTAGGATTATAGGCATCAGCCCCTGGTGCCTGGTACACTTAATCTTCTTAAATTCAATTTACCCTACTATAATTTGAAATCTGCAATCTTAAGGAATGCCGTGATTTTCAAAAGAATCTAAATTTTGTATTTTATAAACTCTTCTCTTCTAATGGAGGGGTGGGGTAGAGTTGGAGAGAGTTCTAGAGACACAAACATTTTTTTCCTTCAAGAACGGCAGTGATTAGGTAGCTTTTGTTTTCTTTTCTAGCACTGCCTTTTCTTTAGTGAAACATACATCAGAAAATCACTTTAGAACTATTGAAAGTGCTCCATTCCATTGAGGCTTTTTTTTTTTTTTTCGGTACTGGTGCTTGAACTCAGGGCCTACACCTTGAGCCACTCTACCAGTCCTTTTTTGTGAAGGGTTTTTTCGGGATAGGGTCTGTGTGGAGCTATTTGCCTGGGCTGGCTTTGAACCATGATCCTCCTGATCTCTGCCTCCTGAGTAGCTAGGATAACAGCATGAGCTACCAGCACCGAGCCCACGGAGGCTTTGACTACATAAAGACAGTTTCAAAAGGGTCATGGGCAAGGGTTTAGCCCCACTGTTCAAAGCAGGGGAGAAACCACACCTTTTGAATTTTTAAAGATTAAAAATTACCCAACCTCCAGATACAACCTACTGGAGAGGGAAAGAGGACAAAGGTTTGGGCTGACCAATGCCTGAGAAGTGGCTCTGTATATGAAGTACAGGGGCTGGGACCATGCACCACCCTTTGATGAAGCCTAGCAGTCGAGGAGTGGGGCTGTTTTACTGCAGGAACCCTGAGTAACTACCCATTTAAATTTCTACCAACATGTTAGACTACCAAGCACAATATTTCAATTCTATGTAGCAGAGACAAACAACAGCAACAATGCAGCGATCAGACTTCACTCCAGTTATAAACCTACTTGTAGAAGATAGTTCAATGAGGGTGCTAACATGGGGAATTCTCAGATAATTTGGTGGGGATAGGAATTTTGAATGGACTTTTGTATACTTATGGATAATATGGTCAAGCTGTGGAGGCAATGCTGTTCATAAAAAGGTATTATTATAATCACTGAGTGTTTTCCACATTTAAAATATCAAATTTTAATATAAAAGCAGTGGTTGTTCTCCTCTCTTCAGCACCGACATCATTTTTTATGACCCTTATTGTCCATTGTCATCATAAAGCACAAAGCCATTAAACAAAGCAGCTGTGTAGTATGCAACGTAACAAGTTTTCTCCCGGAGAGAATGTTATCTCCTAACTGCATTCTAGTGGATTGCATGAATTATGGTCAGGAAAAAACCAACTATTACTATAATAAAATATTATGTGGGGAAGATGTTTTCACTTCTAATTCTCTGAACAGGCATATTCCATATATCTGTTTCTTTGTACATACTGTTCATAAACATCTGCAATACCTCATCTCCCGTCAAACTATCTGCCAAGTCTTCTTCACCCCTACTGATTTGGAAACTCTTCTGTTCAGTTACATGTTTATTATATCTTGATCTTGTTTTTTAAAATAATCTAGAGTGTTTAAATCTCTTGGTAAGAGACAATGACTTCACTTAATAAAGTGATAGAATATAAGAATATATAGAATTTAAGACTTAGTAGTAGAATCAGAATTTGAAAAGTTGATTTTAAATGACTGAATTTTTAATAGACAATATGAATTCCATTCTATAACCATTTATTGAATATGAAATATGAAAAAAATTGTAAATTATTCACCATTTCACAGAAAATATAATCATTCCAACTTCTTGCTCTGACACAATATGGGCAATTTAGTGCTTAAAAAAACAATGTGAGGCTGGTAGTGTGGCTGAAATGGTAGAGGGGCTTTCCTAACAAGTCCAAAGCCCTGAGTTCAAACCCTAGTGCCACCAAAGACAAGCTACTCCTTCCCCCCAAGAAAAACCCATTTATATCTTTATATGAAGTTAATTCTTTCAAGTGATTTTTAGTATATTTTCTAATACCTCTTCTCATTAGATTTTGTCACTCCTTTTAAGTTTTACCCTTTCAAAGACTTTGGAAAACTGAGTCTAAGGGCGAAAACTATCTTATGAATCTGTAAGCTTGATTAAAAATGTTATGAGAGCCAGACATGGTGGCACATGCCTATAATCCTAGCTACTCAGAAGGATGAGGCAGGAAGATCATGAATTGGAGGTCAACCTGGGCAACATAGCAAGTCCCTGTCTCTAACAGACAGCAACAAAAAAATGCTTATGCCATTTTTTGCATAAAAATGCAGATAAAAATGCTTATGACACAAAGTAATAAAAACATAAAATAGCACTGTCATACTTTTTTTAGAATATCATTTTATGTATATTTAATGATCACGTTTTACTTTAGAACTATAATTGTCTGCTGTAAGCCTCACCCTAAATTTCACAAATTTAGGTGGTGATTAACAGTAGCCTATTGGTCATCCTCTTTCACATGTGGAGGACACACATCAGTATGTAAGAAAACCCCTAGGTTTTTCTTGACACTTGGAACTTTCTTTGCAGTCTTGGTGTTGGCTCATTCTCAGGTGATCTCTTATCACATATCCTATTTCCTAACATTCATCTACCTTTCTGAATCAAATTCTATTTAGGCTCTTCAAGGGTGAGTTTTTAATCTGCAGTGTCCTTCTCTAGACTCCAGAAGTAACCATGTTCATAACATGTATACCATTTTCTAGTCTTCTATTTCTTTCTTCTTCTTATCAGGATCATTATCATATGCAAGAATATTCTTTCACAATCCCACCAATAGTCTTTTCCAATAGCCAGGTCTCTCTTCCTCTCCTTCCCTATAAAAAACTTATCTGTTGGTATGAAATGACTGATAATCTTAAAATGGTAAGAGACAACTACAAATAATTGCCAATCTTAAAATAGTTGCTTTATGAATCAACATAGTAAAAATATCTATACTCCCAAAAGTAATCTACATGTTTAATGCAATTTCCATCAAAATTCCAATGACATTCATTAAAGACATTGAAAAATCTACCGTTAAATTTATATGGAAACACAAGAGGCCACGAATAGCCAAGGCAATACTCAGTCAAAAGAACAATGCAGGAGGTATCACGATACCTGACTTCAAACTATATTACAAAGCAATAACAATAAAAACAGCATGGTACTGGCATAAAAACAGACATGAAGACCAGTGGAACAGAATAGAGGACCCAGATATGAAGCCACACAACTATAACCAACTTGTCTTTGACAAAGGAGCTAAAAATATACGATGGACAAATAGCAGCCTCTTCGACAAAAACTGCTGGGAAAACTGGTTAGCAGTCTGCAAAAAACTGAAACTAGATCCATGTATATCACCCTATACCAATATTAACTCAAAATGGATCAAGGATCTTAATATCAGACCACAAACTCTAAAGTTGATACAGGAAAGAGTAGGAAATACTCTGGAGTTAGTAGGTATAGGTAAGAACTTTCTCAACGAAACCCCAGCAGCACAGCAACTAAGAGATAGCATAGATAAATGGGACCTCATAAAACTAAAAAGCTTCTGCTCATCAAAAGAAATGGTCTCTAAACTGAAGAGAACACCCACAGAGTGGGAGAAAATATTTGCCAACTATACATCAGACAAAGGACTGATAACCAGAATATATAGGGAACTTAAAAAACTAAATTCTCCCAAAACTAATGAACCAATAAAGAAATGGGCAAGTGAACTAAACAGAACTTTCTCAAAAGAAGAAATTCAAATGGCCAAAAAACACATGAAAAAATGCTCACCATCTCTAGCAATAAAGGAAATGCAAATTAAAACCACACTAAGATTCCACCTCACCCCTGTTAGAATAGCCATCATTAGCAACACCACCAACAACAGGTGTTGGCGAGGATGCGGGGAAAAAGGAACCCTCTTACACTGTTGGTGGGAATGTAAACTAGTACAACCACTCTGGAAAAAAATTTGGAGGCTACTTAAAAAGCTAAACATTGATCTACCATTGATCCAGCAATACCACTCTTGGGGATATACCCAAAAGACTGTGACACAGGTTACTCCAGAGGCACCTGCACACCCATGTTTATTGCGGCACTATTCACAATAGCCAAGTTATGGAAACAGCCAAGATGCCCCACCACTGACGAATGGATTAAAAAATGTGGTATCTATACACAATGGAATTTTATGCAGCCATGAAGAAGAACGAAATGTTATCATTCGCTGGTAAATGGATGGAATTGGAGAACATCATTCTGAGTGAGGTTAGCCTGGCCCAAAAGACCAAAAATCGTATGTTCTCCCTCATATGTGGACATTAGATCAAGGGCAAACACAACAAGGGGATTGGACTATGAGCACATGATAAAAGCGAGAGCACACAAGGGAGGTGTGAGGATAGGTAAGACACCTAAAAAATTAGCTAGCATTTGTTGCCCTTAACGCAGAGAAACTAAAAGCAGATACCTTAAAAGCAACTGAGGCCAATAGGAAAAGGGACCAGGAACTACAGAAAAGATTAGATTAAAAAGAATTAACCTAGAAGGTAACACACACGCACAGGAAATTAATGTGAGTCAACTCCCTGTGTAGCTATCCTTATCTCAACCAGCAAAAACACTTGTTCCTTCCTATTATTGCTTATATTCTGTCTTCAACAAAATTAGAGATAAGGGCAAAATAGTTTCTGCTGGGTATTGAGGGGGTGGGGGGAGAGGGAGGGGGTAAAGTGGGTGGTAAGGGAGAGGGTGGGGGCATGGGGGAGAAATGACCCAAGCCTTGTATGCACATATGAATAATAAAACAACAAAAAAAAGTTGCCTTATGACTCAAATCAGATACTTTAGGTCATTTTTTTTACTCAAAAATAAAATAGGACCCTAGACTACTTTCTTGTGGTGCTTTTAACTTTCTAGGCAACTAGTAAGCACACTAGAGTTCCAGCTTAATAAAATTATATCTTCTTTGTCTTTCTGTAAAGCACATCTCTCCCATATGCATTGTCCATCTTGTTTAAGCTCTCAGAGCCTCTCACCTGGACATTCTGAAGTAGGTCTCAGGTATGGTATTCTTACCTAGCATTTCAGTAGACCCTGATACATCTCCCAGAGATAACTGATTACCTTGTTCTTGTTATTCCCCTCCTCCACAATTTACCAGAGGAACAATGTTCTCCCAGATTTGTAATATATCTCATCCTAAAATATAAATTTCAGAAGCACAGAAGGCATCTTATTTCTGTATTCCAACACATGAGAGCACTTATAAATAATGAAAATACCATTTAAAAATGAAAACATTACTTCTAAATTTTGATGGCATCTCTTCTGAACTTGACACAAGTAATTCTAAAATTCCACAGGACAACTCTACATGTATGTCCTGCAACTACCTCAAGTTTAAAATGTCTACACCATGCCCCATTATTTTTCCTTGAAAGTAAGACCTTTATCTGAATCTGCTAACTTTGATTAATAGCATCTGTTCTCTGGCCCAAACTAAGAGTCTTCTCCCTAACTCTGTTCTATCTCACCCTTCACAGTACAGCTATTTTATTAAAAATGTATCTCTGATAATTCTACTTCGTAACTTAAATAATGTACTCATGGCTTATTCTATTAAAAGTAAGTGACATTCTACCCTCAATGAACAAAATGCTTGGACCTAAAATGCTGAGCACCAACCCTTGAGCAACAGGAAATTCCCTGATAGAATGCAAGCCTGTAAGGTCTCATAGCTGCTATCCAGTCTCTCCCAGTGCCATTTCACATCTCAGCCTCTGCAAATATGTTCAAACCCAATTCATAGTCCATGCTATAAAACATTTTAGGAGATGGGAAATTATTACAAAGCAGATGTAATTTATTAAATGTAGTAATTGATACTGGGAAGGTTTTAAAAAGGCTTCTCCTCAGAGATTCAACCTACTCCACCACTAGGCGTATTGTCCTGTGTCATTCAACCCAACCTAAGAAGTAGTTTTATCTTTAAAATAGGATTACTAACATTACCTCATAGCATTTCTGTGAAGGTAACAGAGATAATATGTGTTATGGAATTCTCAATAACAACAGTTACAGACATGTTATTTCATGTAGTTAGAATCATAGAACCACCTAATAGCAAGAAATTAACTTGTCTTATTCTTCACTAAAAGCATTTAGAAAATGACAAGCTCAGATCATATACTACCTTTGCATAAAATACAAAAAAAAAAATAGGTGGGCCCACTCTAGAACAAAAAAAGGGCTACAAGGACTGGGGTTATAGTTCAGTAAGACAGTACTTGTTTAGAATGTGAAAAACCCTGGGTTAGATCCCCTGTATAACAAAAAACAAATAAACAAATAAAAACAACAACCCCCTCCTCAACCAAAACAAAACCCAAAGATCAGGTAAAAGGGGAAGGCTAAATGTGACCTCCATTTGCTCTGTTTACCTTAGGTTGTAAAGTCTTTTTAGAAGCATGGGACCTGTCTATGATTCCTCCTTTCATAAATTCTCTGATCTCCAAAAAGGATGTCAGCTAGAGGAGCAATGCTAAATATGGGAGATCTAGCATTAACAAACATGAAAACCTCTTAAAGATTATAAGAAATAAGGTTACATTATATTTTGAATGCTATTAGGAAATATGTAGTATAGCTATCTAAAATCCTTCTTACGTTCTTCTGGTTTCATTTCAGTTATTTTTTGTAGCCAATTTTTCCATGTTTGGCAGTCACAAGGCTCATGTGCTTCTCCAAGGCACTCCCTAAGGAAGAAAATAAAAAAGGCACTTAGAAATATTCTTTATCAGTATCAAGGTAGAAAACAAAGATGGGAAGTATTTGTACAATTCTGATGTGAGACAAGACTAAAACCCAGTGACTAATGAGACATGAGGCATTTCAACAGAAACTGGAACTGAAAATATGATTCCAAAGCCTGATACCATCAGACTAGTTTTTTTTTTTTAAAGAATCAGTAAATTCATTTACACATTTTAAAAGTTCCAAATAGATTACCGAAGATACGTAACATTGTTTTGAATAACTTAAGAGCTACAAAACATTTTTTGTCAATTAGGTTTTACCCTCATTAACACTTTAAATTCTTGCAACTCAAGGAGTATTCCCCTGGCAGGCAATATTGCCACTTCTGAGGGGTTTATTAGACAACTAGAATAGCAGGCCCTATGAGACCTATAGATTAGAACAGACTTTTATCAAAATTACTACTCTTCATTTTACAGTTTGAGAAGCACTGTTTAATGTCAATTTCTTATACTTACTTTTTGCCTTTAAATTCTCAAGTAACTGCTAAGAAAATCTAAGGTGTTTTTATTGGAATTAGGGAAATTTTGATTTAAATAATTCAAAACATCAAATTAATTTTATATTGTTTCTATGATTATTATAAGAACACAGTAAGGTAAGCCATGGTAGTCCATGACTGTAATCCCAGCCACTCAGGAGGCAGACAAGTTTAAAGCTAGCCTGGGAAAGTTAGCAAGCTCTGTCTTAAAAACAAAATAAAGGCAAAAGAGCTGGGGGCATAAATCGAGTGGTAAAGTGCTTATCTAGGACGCTTGAGGCCTTAGGTTCAATCCCTAGTTGTGTGCATGTGTGGAGGGGGAGGAGTCAAGAAAAAAAAAAAGAGCCTAAAGTCTTTATGAACTGCTCATTTTAAACCTTTTTTTCTTTTTTTTGGCGGTACTGGGGTTTGAATTCAGGGCCTCATGCTTGCTAGGCAAGCCCTCTACTGCCTGAGCCACTCCACCAGCCCTGAACTGCTCATTTTAATTTAACATTATGCTATATTGTGCAGGACAAAGGTCATTACTTCAGGTAATAATAAAATATCATTTTTGGGAGAGACAAACCCAAGCTGGAGATGATATCACCATCACCACTGTCATTTTAAATAAAGATCTTACCCGCCAAAGTTAAGTTTGTTAAGATATACCAATTGACTCATGTAGAGTTACAAACTAAGAGGTAATATTTCATTATATTAAGAATGTACCATTTCTACTTCACACTCATTAGGATGACTATTATTAAAAACTAGAAAATAACATGTGTTGATGAGGACTTACAATAATTGCGACCCTTGGCTTGGATGTAATGATAGAAATGTAAATGCTAGTTGGGCGCTATTAGTTCATGTCTGTAACGCTGAAGTTACTCACAAGGCAGAGATCAGAGATCAGAGATAGTGGTTTGAAGCTAGTCCCAAGGCAATATAGTTTGCAAAACCCCATCTCAAAAAAATCCAACACAAAATGGGGCTGGCAGAGTGATTCAAGTGGTAAAGCACTTGCCTAGCAAGTGAGGCCCTGAGTTCAAGCCCCAGTACCATCAAAAAAGGAAAAAAGAAATGTGGGTGCTGATGTAGTTGTTATGGAAAAGTCTGATGGTCCTTTATCAGCAAAGATTCAAACTTGTATATCAATGTCCATAGCAGGATACAACAGCCAAAAGTTGGAAACATGTGTCCATCAACACATGAATGGATAAACAAAGAGTGGTATATACTCACAATGGAATATTACTCAGAATGATATTCTAATACATGCTACATCATGGATGATCCTTCATTTTGTTACGTGAAATAAGCAGACACAAAAGAACTAAAATTGTAGGATTCCACATATATTAAATATCTAGCATAGGCTAATTCAGAGACAGAAAATTGAACAGTGGTTATCACTGCCCAGGGAGAGGAAGATGGAGAATTATTGCTTATTAGTTTTATTATTACTAGAATTATTGCTTATTAGTTATAGAAACTCTGGGAACATGAAGAAGTTCTGAAAATGCATTGTGAATGCAACTGATGTCATTGACTTGCATATGTGAAAATGGCTACAATGCAAAAATAAAACACCAAAATAACCCAGAAAACAAAAAACCCACCATTTTAGACATTATTCTTATAAATGTGTTTTTTTTAATACAGCTCTTAGTATCTTAGTGGTAACTTAAATGTTAATAAAAAAATAATGGGCTGTTTGAAACTACATGTATTATATTCATTTAAGTGGATACTCAGATTACCTCTGCTTTCCAGAAATGTAAGGAATATCTGTGATAACTGCAAATTATCACTTAGTACATCTACTAGCACACACAAGAATAAGAAATATGCCATTGACCTAGAAACAGTGTTTCCATATGGTGCTTGAGAATTCATGTGGGAATGAAGAATCTACACTTATCACAATTTATTATTTTTTTTTTTAAGAAAAGCTTACTTGTTAATTGTACCTCAATAAAGCTAGAAAAAAAGTCTTAGAGGGCTGAGGGCATGGCTCAAGTGGTAGAGTGCTTGCCTAGCAAGCACAAGGCCCTGAGTTCAAACCCCAGTACCACCAAAAAAAAAGTGATTATAAAAAGTCTTAGGATACAAATACCTTTATACGTTTGCAGTATCTAAAACAAACAAATGAAATCAATGAAAAATCTGTTTACATGAAATTTAAGATTTTGTTCCTTGGAGATTAAACAGCATATTCCAAGAAGAATCAATACTAGTACACTGGTCCTGCTGCAAGAATATTTTCTGAGACAAAATGAAAACAATTATGGGGAAAAAAAGCTCAAAAATCTCAAACAGAATCTGAAAGAGCCAGCACTTCTTCAAAAGGCCATTATCACTTATCAATGTGCTTGGCTCTCTGAGGGTATGTTGCATGAGACACAAGGTCCTTTCCAGAACCTCACAGGACACAGACCTGCTGCTTCCTCGGGTGCTAGCCCAATAAGTAGAATCTCTTCAGAGTGCTGTAACAGCTTGGCAGTATCTACTAGTTTTCAGTGCAATACTAAGAGTGGGAATAAAAGGGAAAAGCTTATAAATAAAGAAGCTACAGCAAGCTCTGCAGATTAGAAAGTGAGCTAGAGGGTATCATTTAATACTATTAAATGAGTGCTGAGGTATCTGGGAAAATAACTTCTGGAAAGTCTTAAAATGGTACCAGCAGTAATAGATGATTGATAATCTGGATTAAAATGTAGTTCTGTTAACACTAGAGAATTAAATTCCTAGAGTTTATTTGAGACAGGGTCTTTCTTTGTAGCCTAGGCTGGTCTCAAACTCATGATCCTCCTGCCTCAGCCTCCCTAGCATTGGGATTATAGGCATGTGCCACCACACCTAATTTAATCAATAACTTGTGATTGTAATGTGAAAGGCCTACTACCTGTTGCTGAAACCACATCTTGAAATCTCAGTAAAATGTGTATAGGGAGGGTAATCTTGGCACATACACGACCGAATCTTGGCTGGAGACACCAATGGAATGAATCTTTCAAGAAAAGAAAGTGACTCGGTAAGAGATTCTAAAGACAAAAGTCCTCAACTGAGTATAAGTATATCTGGATGGTAAACATAATATCAGCAGATCAAGGAATAGCTCTTTCCTTAAATATGTGTCAATATGCAAAACTACTGGCAGAAACATACAGTGGCTCCAAAAGGCTCTGGGAAAGGAAAAATCTTTTACTAAAATTTAAGCTTCAGCCAGGCTTGCTGGTGGATGCCTATGATTCCAGCACTTAGGAAGGCAAGGCAAGAGAATTGCTTAGAGTTCAAGTCCCACCTGGGCTACAGAGAGACCCTATTAACAAACAAAACAAGTTTCAAGCTTCATTATTTGATGGGAGAAATTCCTATCAAGAAGTTGGCGACTTCAGTTCATGCCATTTTTAGAACTTTATTAATGACCAATCCTAAAGTGGATTAAGTAGAAACTTTTGTTTTAAAAATTATCTTCTAAAGCTAGAGTTTTGAGTCTAGAAATCAATATTCTTAACACCACATCTACTGACTCGTATATTCCTCATAACAACTCTTTGGAATTGGTATTTCTTATCCCCACTTTACACTTTGCATAGACAAGTTTGGTATTTTGCCACAGGTCATATAGGTAGCAGATGGATGGGCTAAAATTTAAAACTCAATATTTGCTACTGGAACACTTCATGTTGACTACATCAATTAAGAAGGCTTTTATTTTATTATTGCATTGTAAGAGAGGATGCTTGTTGATCACCAAGCCACATAGCTAGGTAGTGGCAGAGCTAAGTCTCAAATACAGGTTCTGAGTCTCCCAAAATATCAGTATGTGCTCTATTGAAATTTGGTAAATTAAATTGGCAGGCAGTATTTTATTAATTTATTTATTACGATTGAACTCTGCTAAATAGAGGGTTTTTCCTTTTTGTATTGGCGATTGAACCCAGGGCCTTATGTGTGTTCTTTGCTCACTAGTCAATTGTTCTACCACTTGAGCTACATCCCAGCCCTTTTGTTTTTGTTTTATTATTTTGTTAGTGAGATAGGGTCTCATTAACTTTGCCCAAGCCATTCTCAAATGAGATCCCCCTGCTTCTACCTCTTGAGTGCTGGGTATATAGGTATGTGCTACCTACCACACCTGGCTTCATGTTTTTATTTCTAGTTATGAAGAGCCGGGAAATGTTGTGCTAGTTGGAGGCACTCTGATATTTCAAAAGATAAACACCACCAACCTGAAATATTTTTCCCCATAATGATTGTTGTTAAGCTAAGGGTCTGAATGAAACTGATTTTCAAGAGAAAATGAAATATAAGTATTACATCCACAAGTACTGATATCTTCATCTATTTTGCCCAAAGGACTCTTACAGAGTTTCTTTGCCCAAGATGTTGATGTAGAGACAGAAGAAACATGAAACTATTGCTTTACTTCAATTAGGACTCAGGATCCTAACAAGGGAGTAAGTGTTA